GTTTTTTAACCTTTAGAATGCCATAAAGAAGTTTGTTGTTTTAATATTACAAATGATGGAAAATACTTTGTTGTTTGGTTGTGTTAACCTATATTAAGATTTAGAGTTTTTGAATTGACATATCATAACATGTAGTGAAATTAAATAATTTTTTTATTGAAATTATATTAAGAGAATTGTTTGTCACGAATCTTTCTGAATTAATAAAAATATTGATATTTTTAACTAATTATTTTCTTTGAAACAAAGTCTAAGCAATCCTAATAACTAAGATTTAAAATTTATGATACTAATCTATTGAATTATGTAAAATTATATCGAATAATCCATACACTCCTGCCTAATTTATTATATAAGTAGATTATACTTTGATCATAATCCATAAGTCAAAAAACATTTAGTAGTAGATTCATTCTTTGTTAAGTTAATTCAATAAATTTCCTTTGATATTGATAAGCTATTTATTTTAATTGTTTCTTATCCTAACGAAATATTTAAATAATTAATATATTTTATCTATGCTATTCTTTCGTTACTTATTAAACTCAATTTCGACCATCTTTTATAAATTATTTTGAGCTTATTTTAAATCATTTATTAATGTTTTGTTTGTAAACTTATCACCAAATTATTGTTTCATTATATGATGATTAGATAATATAGTTGAAGAAGAATAAATATCTCCAACAAAATTTTGATCATCTGGTGGGTTATTTCTGGATTTGACTTTTATGAAAAACATAAGATTATGGGTTTCTAACACAACCATGATAATTGTGACAAAAAAATCATAACATTTAGTATTTCTTAATCTACAAAGCGATTATATATGTTTATAATTATATAAAATACATTTAAATAATGATTAAATTCATAATTTGCTTGATATGGAATTGTAATAAATTATTAAACAAAGCATGGATCACAATTCTGTTTAGGAGAATTTTTAATTCATTCAATCTTATTTATAATAAACAAAAAATGAAATTTATCCGAATTGCTTCTTATAATTAAATTCATATCCCTTATTAAATAAAATAATATATATTTATTTAAAATTTTCTATTTTAGATGGATTTTTATATTAAAATTCAAAGTAGTACAACTTAATTGAATTTTATTTGAATCTTTGTAAACTATTTATCATGTACTATTTATCGTATTTCTAATAGAGTAGATTTTACTATTTTAGAAAAAAGATTATTCCAATATTAGATTCCTCTGGATTAATGAAAAATTAGCTTTGCAATTCTAATAAGCAGTTACATCAGACGCTTGATCTAATTTGTTCAAATTGCACTAAAATTCTTTAAATTTTGAATATATTATTATGTTAAATTTTTCTCAACCTGTTCAATCATACTCTCAAGTACTTTATAAAGATATTTTTGATTTAAAATAAAACCGTTTTTAAAATAACTATTAAGGATATAAAACGTGTTTAATTTTTAATTACTTCTTCTTTCTTTAGCTTTTAATTTTCTTCAATAATTTAATAAGCTTTGGTAAAATTCATTAATTTTTCTTCTAATTCTAAAAGTTCCATGTATTTTGAGCATAAAAATTTTTTAATCTTCTTTAAATTTACATCACAAGCAATCATTTAGACAAGGAGCTTAATCAATTAAATATTTTAATTGTACTCTTTAAACATACTTGATTCAAGTTTAAAGATTCGTGTTATTCATAGATTAATATGAAATCAGCAACTCTCTTTTTTATAACGGACAAATTCTTAGAATGTATCCATTATAACCGAAGATAATAGAGAGAATTTCTCTGCAAAATCCGAGATGTTAAACTATTATTAATAAATAAAATACCTTTAGTGGTTTGGAAAATCTAATAAGAACTAAAAAAAAGTTGGAATATGGACTCCAAATTGGAAGGATAAAACTCTTTTTTAAGTAGGGGGATATTTATTAGATTATTTCTAAAGCATTCTACTCATAGATGGATAAAAATAAGGTTTATGAAAAAAATTATTCAATATTATTCTCCTAATATACTTTTATAAACGGACTATTCCTAATCGATATGCTACACAAAAGGAGCACCAAAAAAGTCAATGTTTTTGATATGTTAGAAGGCTTAAATTTAAATAATATCGATTTTTGATATAAAAAAAATTGCAAATTAACTAATGAATGTTTCCAGAGTTGTTATAAAAATATTTTATAATTTTTTAACTTACGTATCAAAAGTAACACCAATCCATATTATATTACACTTATGAATATGATTAAAATTTATTCATTGTTAATTCACTTAAAAATAAAATTAAAATAAATTTTCATGCAGAATCAATAAAATATCGGGATAACCTCCCAATTAGGATTAGTTCAAATTTCTAATCATTAACTCATATGTATCATAAAATCATTTGGGTTGATTCTATAAAATTATAAATTATTCGACTCCTTTGAGGTGGATAGATCGTTCAAAACCTTTGTAAGAATACTTAGAAAGATTAATACTTAAGAAGGAAAAATAGGATACACTGCAGTGGAAAAAGCTAGATGGAAAGAAAAATAAAACTTTATTAATATGAAATTCACTCGAAATTCTGTGTAGAATTTAGGATGAATCCAAAAACCTTAAGTTTAGGTGGAAGAACGTGGATATAATAAAGAATTATATTAGAAGATGATCTCCAGCTTAGATGCAGTGTACAAACAAGATGATGAATTAGATTTGATATGTGATAAGATCAAAAATGTATAGAAGAGAGATGAATTCTTGTTTTAAGCGATGATGTTGTAGATCCCTTTGGTAAAGAAGTACTTGACTCTAATTATCAGACTGAAATTACAAATAGATAAAATTTAACAGACAATGATATCTTACAATATATTAAGTGTTTTGAAAGGATTTCTTAAAAAATGGTTAGACTGAAAATTAAATGGGAAATATTATTAGCTGAGGAATATACTAGGAAAGTTTAGGGTTCCAAGCCAAAAAAAATAAGGACGCAAGCATGGAGAAGGATAATGATATATATAATAATAATAATAATTCACTTAATTATTATTATTATTATCTACAATTATTAATTGCTTCTGATTAACACAATTTTATTTCTATATAATAAATCTTAAAATAAGCAGCCTAATAATCCACATGAATTGTGGAACAAATACTTTCATTCTTAACAACAGTTATGAAATGGAATCTTAAGATACTCCTAATTAAATTTATTCCCTCTATGTTGAATCTATCTGAAATTAAAAGACACGAGATATTAAAAACTTTATAAGCTTGTTTGCATATTTAATTATAAGAATAAATTTCATTAAATTGAAGTTTCAAATTTTTCTATGCGCTAACTAACAAATAAATTAAACTTTAAGTGGAATCATTTCACTCTAAATTCATACAAATCATTGAATCCAATATTTGAGTTTTAAGTGATCATTAATAAATGCTAACTGTTTAGATTATTAAATCAAAAAAAAATCAGTTATTAAAGATCGTTAATCAAGATTCTATTTATTTACTAAATAATCTGATGTTAATGAACATTTAATTCTATTTTCTGCATTATTTTTTTCTTCCTTTAATAAATGTAGTTAAATTGAATTATAAAGCCATCTTATCTAATTACAAGAAAGTAAAGCTAAATGATTGTATCTTGAAAACAACAAAGAATAAATTCAGAAACTCAATACTACAAAAGTTACAAACAAATCTATTTAGAAGAAATAACTTTTCTATTAGAGAGATTTTTTCATATATATAAACAATATTAATCTGTAAAGGTTCTAAATTGCTCAACAAATCCTTTAGCTTGTTCCTACTAAAAACAGTTGTGAAAATCCTCAAGAAATCAAAACTTTCATTAACACTCTTATAATTCTTTGGCTATTGAATTCTACTTACTAACTGTCAAAAATGTTTGCTGAAAACAAATTCAAACATATAGAATCTAAGTATGTGATAAAATATATATCTGCCTAAACTTTTTCTCCTAGTGCATAGTGCATTATGAAAAGTTAATTAAAATTAAATTTTGTTTCTCTTTTAGATTTCTGTTTGAGAGATGATTAATTACCAATTAAATAGTATCCAACATACAACTTTGTATAAATTAATAATAAGAAATATTTAGAGAAAGAAGATGCATGAAGTTTTTCTATATTGAAAAGGAGTCTTTAATGTTCCTCTTGATCTCATGGAAGAAATTTCAATTTAAAGAAAATAAATACATTATATAT